GATTTCTCGCTTTCTATCTCTCTGTCTCTCTCTGTCTGTATGGCGAGTGCACGCGCCCTATAGCAAAAACCTCTTAAAAAAAAAGAAAAAGAAAAAGAAAAAAGAAATTACCACCCAGAGGGGATGGCCACAGTACAATCCCTTCTCCTCCATTCTTCTGCCTTCCTGAGTTTAAGCTGCCAGATCCAGGACTCGAACTACAGTAAACTATGAGGGAGTCCAGTGATGTAACCATTATACCATCTGCTGGTCCCATCTACTTTTATGCATTTGATTTGATCATATGATTTTTCATATACTTTGCAGACGAGAAAAATTATATCAATCAAAAAAATTTTAACCATTTGCTATAGGGTGCATGCACTTGCTGGAAAGAGACAGGGAAAGATGGAGAAAGGGAAAGTGAGAAATCACCTCTCCAGGGGGAATGACCACACCACAATCCCTTATCCATTCTCCTCTCGGGATTTTGGGCATGTGTGCACATGCAACTGGAATGATTTTCAAGTTGCTTGGCCTAGGACTCAAACTACAGTCAGCCATGTGGGAGTCCAGCACCTTAAGCACGGCACCTGCTGACCCAAATAAATCAATTTTTAATATTGAATTCTTGAGATAAATGTATCTTGATGGTATCTTTTCTAAAAAAAATAAACCGGGGACCAGCAGATGGTGTAATGGTTATGTCGCTGGATTCCCACATAGTTGACTGTGGTTTGAGTCCCAGACCCAGCAGCTTAAAACTCACACCGGGTGTGTGTGTATGCGTGCCCAAAATCCTGAGAGGACAATGGAAGAAAAGGGACTGGGGCATGGCCATCTTCCTGGGGTGTAATTTCTCACTTTGTCTCTCCAGCAAGTGCATGTACCCTATAGCAAAAAAGTCTCTCTTAAAAAAATAATAAATAGATACATTTCATTAGCTAATATTTTATTTAGGATTTTGCATTTATGTTCAAATGTGTGACTGACTCAAAAGTTTCCTTTTTCCTGCCGGTTTTGAGACCTAGGTTAAACTCATAAATGAATTGGGATAGACATTTCCATTTTCATTAACAGGCTGAGCTATGTAGGTAGTATAGTAGCTAGTGCAACAATTGAGATGCTAAGCAGTGGACAAAAGTGTTCAGGGGCATCCGAGTTACTAGTTAATAGGTGACAGTCTAGGATTGTCAAGACTGGCAAAATTCTTAATGTGTAGATAGTCCTCGACTTACAATGGGGGCTTATGCCCTGCTAAGCCTATTGTGAGTTGGAAATGCACTCGGCCCACTGCAGGGAACAACTTGTTTGACCTCACAGGGGCTGACTGAGAACTGTGGCTCACTGCTATGGCCCAGCCTCACGAGAGAGCATCGTACCACAGGTCGCTAAGTAGGAAACCATCACAAATCAGGGCACAGACTCTGCTGAATGTTTATCACTTCCTACCACCGTAAAGTAAAAAGTCCTAAGTCAGGGACTGTCTTCATTCCCTCCAAAAAGGTCTGAAGCGGATTGATCCTTAATCTGGTTTAAATAGTCTGTCTTTTTATCAACCATATTTATACCCAAACAGAATCTAAATTATTACTAGTACTATACAGTTTACAAAATACTTTTTTTCTCTTTTTTTGGAGAGGTTTTCGCTATAGGGCACGTGCGCTCGCCAGACAGACAGAGACATAGAGACAGAAAGCGAGAAATCACCCCCCCAGGGGGCATGGCCACGCCGCAATCCCTTCTCCTCCTTTCTCCTCTCGGGATCTTGGGCACACATGCACACGCGCCCGGCGTGAGTTTTAAGTCACCGGGTCCAGGACGCGAACCGCAGTCAACTACGTGGGAGTCCAGAGACATAGCCATTATGTTAACTGCTGGTTCCCCAAAATACTTTTTATATTTTTTATTTTACTGAATTTATCATAGCTTTTGAAGAGTCATATTATTATTTTTATTTTAGATTATTTCCTCTCTATCTTATAGATTATTTAGGATTATTCAGCTACACCAGTGGGGAAATGATTTTAAAAATAAAATTTATTTACTTCACTTCAGTCACATCAAGAAAGAATTTCTTGTAGGAGAGATGCTCAGTGCTGCAGTGACAGTGATTATTATCTTAGCTGTTATTGACAGTACCAAGAATGAAATAATGAATTTTCCAAGGAAGGCTGGAGGAACCTCTATTTTTGTTGACAGTATAGAAATGCTTATATTTACCATGAATTTTAATATAGCTCCATAAGAATTTTAATATACCTCTAAGTTTCTAAATTAATAATGTATTTAAAAGAATTATTAATTTAATTTTATTATTTTTTTTAATTGGCTATAGGGCATGTGTACTCACCAGAGAGACACACAGAGGGAGATAGAGAGAGGGGGTGGGGGAGATGGAAAGTGAGAAAACAAGCCGCCAGGTCCAGGACTCAAATTGAGGTTGGCCATTTGGGAGTCCAGTGCCTCAACCACAATGCCACCCACTGGACCCCAATAATGCATTTTTTAACCCCCCCAAAAAAATAATAATTATTTTTGTACTTTTCTAAGCATTACATAGGGTTGTACAAAGTTTAGATAAACATATAGAAAAAAATGCTCAAATATGATTATTTTAAAATGTATGCATCTTACCATAATGTAGAGCTGTTTGACCTTCATTGTCCTACAAAAAGAACAAATAATACACTTTAGAAATCTAAATAATTGCAAAAGTATGAAAGTTTGTAAACTACAGTATGTAGGAGAGATAGAAAGTTTTAGAGGTTTCTGACTCAGGAGAAGAAGTCCAGTTACTGAGCCTCACGGCAACTTCTGACCAGGCTCCCTACCTCGGAGAACAGAGTGGTAACTGCCTTGCAGCAGCTATGGTAGGATGATGGCATCTAACGATAATAACCCTAACGGACACCTCCTTTAAATGCGCAGCTTGGTTACCCAACAGGGGCAGAAAAATTGGCACTATGTGTCACTATCTTGACCAGCATTCCAATGTTCCCTCTAAGCTTGTCTCCAACTCTATCTAAGGAGTCTTTGGTTTACAGAAACAAGAGCCGGGTGCTTTTAATCTCTTTTCAAAGGCTCACAAATTACAAGGTAGTAATAATAATACTAGGTTTCTTAACTAGATCAGATATCACAAAGAAATGTGATTTTAAAGCATACAAAGTCCCAGAGGTTGTCAAGGATGTCAGAAACTCCCATAGATTACTCAAGAAACTCTAACATTGCATTTACATTTTTCTTTTTTAGAGAGAGATATTTTTGCTATAGGGCACGTGTGCTTGCCAGAGACACAGAGAAAGAAAATAGAAAGAGAGGAAATCACACCACCATCCCCAGAGGGGAATGCCACGCCACAATCCCTTCTTCCCTGTTCCCCTCTGGGGATTTTGGGCATGCACGCACATGCGCTCAGTCTGAGTTTCAAGCTGTCAGGTCTGGGACTGAACCACAGTCAACCAAGTGGGAGTCCAGCACCTTAATCACAATGCCACCTGCCAGCACCTATTTTTCTTTTAAAACCAAACTGTTCCATGATATCCTGTCATTTGAGGCAATACAACAAGCCTGGGGGACGTTATGTCGATTGAAATAACCCAGGCACAGAAGAGAAAAATGGAACGTTCCCACAAATGTGGAAACTAAAAGTCGATCTCATCAACACAGAGAATAGAACAGTGGTTGCTAGAGGCCTGGAAAGTAAAGCGGGGAGAGATGTTGGAAAGATATAGGTTAATAACAAATTGTAGTTAGAGAAGAGGAGTAAGTTCTAGTGTCTACAGCACAGTGGGACAATAACTACAGTCAACAATAAAGTACTGATAAAGGTTTAAGATGATGGATATGCTAATAATCCTGATTTGATCATTACACTGTATTCATATACTTGAAAATACACTATAACTCACAAGTATGCACAATTATTGAGACAATTAAAAAAAAATTATGGGGGCCAGCAGGTGTGTGGTGGTTAAGGTGCTGGATTACTACGTGGGAAAATACTTTCCTTGGACGAAAAGCAAGGGAACCAGCAGTTAGTGTAATGTCTATGTCGCTGGACTCCCACATAGTCAACCACGGCTCGCGTCCCGGACCCTGTGGCTGAAAACTCATGCCAGGTGTATGTGCGTGCGTGCCCAAGATCCCAAGAGGAGAATGGAGGAGAAGGGATTGCGATGTGACCATCCCCCCTGGGGGGTGATTTCTCGCTTTCTGTCTCTCTGTCTCTCTCTGTTTGGCGAACGCACGCACCTTATAGCGAAAAAACCTCTCCAAAAAAAAAAAGGCAAGAAGCTCACACAGGTTAACTTATTTTCTAGCTTAGATAGGTATTTAAAAAATGAAAAGCCAAGATAAGAAGAGTCATGGCACAGGGATCGCTTGCCAGGAGGTGAGAAAGAGGGCATTCTGAGGACAGGAATAGGGTACACCTGGCCGAGGTGCAGCGGTGGCAAGCTCGGCATGGGCATCGAGCATTGTAAAGACATTAACTTCAAAGAGATGGAGAGCAGCGCTGAAGTCAGAGAGCGTAAGAGAATGTCCTCGCTTACTTTTTCCTTGTCGTTTTAGATGTAGCCCCTGCCTTGCTTGCCCTGGTCTTGAGTTTAAGGTAGGTTGGGGAAGAGCGCTGGGGCAGCGGCGCTCACACAGGGCACACGGCGAGCAGTAAGCTCCAGCAGAGCATCTTGTCTTGCTAGCTCCGGCTAAGGACAGTTTCCAAGAAGAACACTGATCTCGATGGCTTAAGACTGACATCTGTGGGGTCAGCCAGGGGGCATGGTGGTTAGGCAGCTGGATCCCATCTGGCCAACTGTGCACTGACTCCCAGACCCAAAGGTTTGAAAAACATGCCAAGTGTGTGTGCGTCCATGCCCAAAATCCCAAGAGGAGAGTGGAGAAGAGACTGTGGCGTGGTCATCCTCCCTGGGGAGAGCATGTTTCTCACTTTCTCTCTCCCTCTCTGTCTTTTTGGTGAGTGTATGAGCCCTAGAGCAAGTTAAAAAAAAAAAGACATCTGTTTTGCCAGTTTTCTGAAGCTAATCAGTGTAAGCATATGTACCTGTGTGTATACGCAGTGTATCTCACCAATGTGTACAGTGATATGTTTTTAGTTGCCAGGGCACATGCGTGCTGACCAGAGAAAGACAGAGAGATAGAGACAGAGAGCACCCCTTTGATGGTATAGTCATGCCACAATCCTTTCTCCTGTCTCTCCCTCCTGTCAAGATATTGGGCATGTGTGCCCATACCTTGGGAGTATTTTTCAAGCCCATGGGGCTGGGTTCAAACTGTGGTTGGTCATGTGGGATACATCTCCCTTATTCACTAGGCTACGGGCCAGCCTTGTATAATAGTTCTGTGTCAATTAAAAAGAAAAATAAATATGAATGCACAGCAACAGAAAGCAATTTCAGGACGGGCTTAATCCACTGCCATTTTAGGACTCTACCTATGCATCTACCATACAAGGTCACATTTTCCACAACTATCCATCCTTAAATGCTACTTGTGTACAAATTTTATGTTTAATCAATGTTTATACACACTTAAAGTTCAGTTGCTTTCAATTTCTAAATTCTTATCTTCATTAGAAAGGTAGAAGAAAGCATACTTTCTCTTAACCACTTTTACCTATGAATACTAAACACTGGGTCCTCGGAAAGTCATGATGCATATCTGCGTAGAAAAACAAGTCAGGACTTTTCCAACCACACAATATGTAGCTTTAGCCAAATTTCCAAATAATTAATCAGAAATATTTACTGTGCTCCTATAGTGTCCCAATCACCTTCTAGGCGTGGCACACAGAGAGGAATGAGACAGAGAAGAACCCTGCTGCTGGACACTGCGCATTACAGGGGGGGAGCAGTGAGCAATGGACTGACTGACTGTGCAATGAGAAGTGCTCTGTGAAAAGGAAGACAGAGCAGAGTAAGAGCCTAGAGTGGGTGCTGTTTTAGAGAGAGAGGACACAGAAGTACACTGTTCGCACAGAGAACTGGGGAAGAAACAAGGCAGCCATGAAACCCAAACAGCAAACCAAGCACCCGCTGCCTTCTGACTGAAAAGCTGAGCGTGTTACTCAAGCCCGCCAACTATAATAGTTTTTGTCTCAGGACTTCTCGAAATGGAGCGAGGACAAAAGTCCATGCTCAGAGAAAGTCCTTTCTCTGATCAAGGGTAAATAAAGGCTGTAGTGAAGTAAGCCAGATGCAAAATGACATATATTAGATGATTCTCCTTATGAGGTACCCAGAGTAGTCAGACTTAGAGACAAAAAGTACTGGGTTGTCGGAAAATTCATGCTGCAATTTTTTTGTTTTTCAATGCAAAAAATGCATCATGACTTTTCTGACGACTCAATAGAATAATGGTTACCAGGGGTCAAGAGGAAAGCGCAGGGAGTTCTTGTTTACTGGGTAGAGTTCTGGTCTGGGATGATGGAAAAGCTCAGACGATGGGCAGTAGTAATAGTTGCATAGCAATACGCATGTATTTAATGCCATTAAACTTAAAAACTTTAAAAGTGATTCAAGTCTACAGCCTGGCCACAGTGGCTCAGTGGTGGTGTGCTGGAAGCTACAAGGGAAATAGGAGTTGGGGTCCCAGGTCAATCTGTACATGCATGCACAGGTGTGTGCCAGTAACCCTGGCTGGCTGGGAGGACAGGGGAGAGGATCGCAACATGAGTTGGGAGAGATTTCCTGGAGAAGGTGAACTGAGTCTTAAAGGATGGAGAGCTTTCCTTCTCCTGCAAGATTCCAGACTAAATAATTTGAAAATTCTCCCATCACAAAACACCCAGAAATGTGAAATAAAATATAGCAAGAATCTCCTTAAATGCATAGCAGAGCTTGCATAAAACAAGTTAACTCTCCAAGGGGCAGAAAAGCACAGCTAAAAACAAACGTACTAAGCTACATGTGTAGCTTAGTAAGAGCGTGTGTTCCCTCTCCCTTTTTTTGGTGTGTCCATTTTATGTCAGAAGGTGTATATGTGCAAAAGAGAGGGAGAAAAGAAAAATAGAAAAAGAGAAAAAGGACCCTGCAGCAGGGCCTGGTCACACTGTAATTTTTTTTTTCCTTCAACTCTGCATCCATCAGGATCCTAGGCATGTCTGGCAAGTGTTTTGTTTTTGTTTCTCAAGCAGTCGGGCAGAGACTTAAACCCTGATTGTCCACATGGGGTCTGACTTCCTCTGAATAGTCTCAGTACTGCAGAATGGGATGGACTGGTTTGCCCTTTTTAAATTTGCACTTTCTAAGTTTTGATATGTTTTTAATTGCCAGAAGGTATGTGTGATTGCCAGAGAAAACGAGACAGAAAGAGAACGCACCCTACAATGGGTCATGGTCACTCTATAATCCCTTCTCCTTGGCTTCTCCATCCTGTTGGGATCTCGAGCATGCACACACATGTGCTCTAATGTGTTTTTCAAGCCTCCAGAGCCAGGATCAGAACTGTGGTTGGCCATTTGGGATCTGACTCCCTTAATCACTAGGCCATGGGGCCAGCCCCTTAAAAATGTTCAAAATTTCCCAAGCTAAGAAATCAGCTAAGGGATCTCAGGCTGATAGTGCCACTCAGCTGCTTGGCAGAAACAAAAGCAAAATCATTCCAGAGGGCCAGAACCTCATTCTACGGAGCACAGCACAGAATTTT